AAAATGTACTAGTCCCTGCTCTCATGTATGGTAGTGAACTATGGGGCATGTCTAGTACAAGATCAGGTAGGATTACTAGAATCCTTAGGAAAGCAGTCAGGATGGTGTTCCGGACAAAAATAGTTCCATTAGATAGGATAATGGATGAATTCTCGATTAGTAGAATTCAAATACAAGCAGCCCTGAGCAGATTTAGGGCACTAATGAAGTGGAAACACAACAAAACGATAATCTCGGAGTTTGTGGATCAAGCTCCCAGGGAAAGGAAAACCACGTGGAGTTCAAGGACTCGACGTTGGTGCAAAAGGTATGTCGGTCACGACTATGAAAGCATTGGCTACAGAGTAGCCAAAGACAAGATAGTCGAAGTGCTTAAAGGAAGGAGAACCTATAACTCTACCTTGGCAGCTTCAATAGCAGGCGAGTATAAAATCCTTGAGTCTCAGCTCAAGTATATACTGATAAAAGTCAATAATAGACAGATAAGAAATTACACCAAAATCAGGTGTAACTTGGTAAGATGGTCTTCTGCTCTGGCGAATGCCAACAGGATCCCTCAATTCTACAGAGGACACTGTTTCCTTTGTGAGGGAGAACAAGAATGCCTTGAACATTTCTTGTTAGATTGTCCTGCCCTTTCTGATACAAGGTCTCTCTATGAGGGAAGAATAGTTGAGTTGGTAGATCTAACTCGGACAAGGAAAGAGCGAGTCACGATGATTGTTGGCAATATCAATGACGTCAAGGCTTGCTCAAGAATGAGAAAGGCACTACTCGTAAGAGTAGAGTTCTTGGACAAGATGGTAGTACAACGCTACGTGCTTGTACGAGAAAAAGAAAGGCTATTCAGCCAGAACAGGAGCTAGCAACTGCTAGCAAGAAAAGTGAACACATTTACCTGGGGGAGGTATGGCAAGCTGCTGATGCCGTAGCATTTGCGTTGGATCAGGTCAGGTCCTTTACTGGCGATTGAGCCAGGCGTGTTATCCTTTAGAATCCTGCTGAACGCAGGTCACGGGCTTTGAGCCTGTGGTTCTAGTCCTAAGGGATCTTCTTTCTCCTACAAGCAAGGCCATAATGGTATGCTAGAGTGT